GGTCCAGGACTGGTCCGAAAAGGGGTTTTTAGGTCGGCTAGCCTTGGAGGGTTGATTCAATTCAATCTGATTCTATAAAGGCAATTTTAAAAAATAAATAAATAAAAACAAAAACCGCTTCCTCATCCAAAACACTTTTTAGGCTTAAAATCTCAGCTCAACATAATCTGGGGATTAGAGAAACAGGCTGAGACCGGAACCAGGTCAACATTGATGAACTTCAAAAATTTACATCTCTATTTATATTTATCCACACACAAAAGAGAAAATTATTTAATTTATTCTTTAAAATGTATACTTTATTTTTAATTAATAAGAATAAGAGAAAATTAAGGACCTGTTTAGTTTGCTGATTTGAATTTTTAATTCGAGTTGAGATGTGATTTTATGTGATAATTTTTTACTGTAGTAAAAAAGTTAAATATGACTGTTTTTAAGAATTTTTTACTGTAATAAAACTTGAATTTTAAACTCGAATCAGTTAAATAAATAGGACCTAAGACTCATAAATCTAAGGAGTTCTTTTCTCCTTTTCCATTATCAAAATATTGTTCCACAAAATCTTCTACTTGTGCTACTACCGTGCACTGCTCTGTTTCAAAGTGTTAATATTTCTATAATGATCGTATCCACATTGTCGTTCAGAGATTCCTGATAGCAATATAAAATTAATTCAAACAATTATTCTAAAATTCAAGATAGCAATTTATGTAGTCCGTTACCGCATTTTTTTTAAAGAATTTTCTCTGATGTTTTTTCTTTTTTAAAAATATTGTTGTTTTCTATTTATTAATTATAAAATTTATATTAAATCTAATTAAAAATTAAATCATATTAAAAAAATAATACAATTTAACAGCCGCTAAATAAAAAATACTAATGTTCTCAAGAATACAAAACACTAGTGGACGTTTAGTTCGTGAATTTAAAATTATGATTCAAAATTATTCTCATTTTACATGTATTTTTTATGAGAAAAAAACACTATAAAAAATCATGAATCATAATTCAAAAGTAAAGACGAATACAGAAAATAAACATCCCTTAAAAAACTTCTTTCTTTTTAGTCCAAAAACCGGCCAACATATGCCTCCGTTTATTTCACTGATTCGAGTTTTGTTACAGTAAAAAGTTCTCATAAATAGTCACATTTAATTTTTTTTATTATAATAAAAAAAATTTATATAAAATCATATCTTAACTCAAATTAAAAACTTAAATTAATGAACTAAATAGACGTATAAAATCTCACTTCTCAACTTTTGAGCACTTTGATTGACCAACTGCCCCCACTTGCCTTTTTGTTTTAAAAAAAAAAATTCTTTTAATAGAATAACATTTTGATAAATCTTCATCAATCATCATGCACGATTAACGGAGTAGACATGTGGGTGAAGGAATCAATTCATCCGAGGACTTGAGTAAGCCTAAGCCTACATTTGTGCTGAAATCCCTTAGTCATATTATCACAGCTAGTTTTTCCGAACATTATTTTTTTTTCTTTTTTTATATATGAAAAATGTATATATACATATTATATATAGATCGTACCGGACTTGAGCGGTATTTATATATATATTTTTAAAATATATATTTTTTAAAATATGTATATTTTTTAAAATATATATTGAAATGTATATATTTTAAGTAAAAATATATACGTTTTAAAAAACATATATATTTTTAAAAAATATATACAAGTGTCTCTCATGGGAGACAATTTCAATATATATATATATATAAAGAATGTCTTTCGCAGGTATTATTTATCTGATTGATTTGGTGCAAGACATTATACATGATTTATATTAAATTATACAATTACTGTATGTAAATATATAAGATATATGATGAATTGTATAACTTGTCATATAACTTATACATATTTATAATTGTACAACTTCCATATACAAAATTATACAAAATATATGCTGAATTGTACAATGTGTAAATATATAAGACTTATATTTAATTGTACATCTTTACGTATAAATATACACGATTTATGTTGAATGATACAACTGCCGTTTCAATCCAACAAATAATAAGTGCCGATTTATATATATATTTAAAATATATATTTTAAAATGTGTATATTTTTTAAAATATATATATTAAAGTGTATATATTTTAAATAAAAATATATACGTTTTAAAAAATATATATTTTTAAAAAATATATACAAGTGTCCCTCATGAAGACAATTTCAATATATATATATATATATATATAAAAGCGTGCTAGTCTGACCCTTTCTGCGCACTTCCTAATCCTATAATCTAGTACTCTCTTGGCGTTCTCAACGTTGTTGCCCGTCGCTGTGTTTCTCCGTCAAGCAACTGTCAATTTCCAGTCGAGGTTTTCTTTTCTTTTTTCTTGCGGTAAGCATATAAATTTTCAAGGAAAAGAAATAGTATATAAACACACATATATCTGTTGCAATAGTGAGCTTTTGGAAGAAACGGAAGGGTTTTGTCAAAAGTAAGAGAAGAAACAAAAACCACTTCAGAAATTGTTGACATTTATGTCTCATAAATTATTGATTATTTTCTTGTGCTTGGAACGGCTAGGTATAGCACTTGTTGTTTTGATCTCAAATTTCAGCTTCATGCACCGTGCACGTTTAATCCGGAAAATTGTTGCGTATATTGCATGAGTATTCAGTTGAATATACTATAAGACTGGATTTTGCTAAATTGTATGTAGTTTTTCTATCTTATTTTCCAAAGACTTTATGACAGCTTGGACTCTGATTTTTTTTTTCTTTTCAAATGTCATAATTTTTTTTTTCTTTTTAAATGTCATAAACGAGAATTCGAGGACTGCATAATGGAATATCATCAGACTGTATTTTGCTAAATTTGAATGTGTTTGTGCCTCTTTTGTGAAGTCCGGGTATATGGTTTTTAACTTTACATGAGAATTCCAACAATTGCTAATATTTTATCGAGTCCATACTTAAATATAACGATACTGGATTTTGCTAAGGCTGTTTGTAATATACCTCTTTTACCAACAGATTTGATATTGGAGTGAGTTAAGGCCGAGGTTTTTTCTTATTTTATGTTTGGCTTAGCTCTGAGGAATGATAATTTTAGTGCCAAAGTAGTTAAAATGTAGTCACTGTTCTTGAAGCTGCAGAAAAATGAGGAGAAATTGTTATATGCCAGAAGAGGTAGTAGAGGAAATCCTATTGAGGTTGCCCCCAAAGTCTCTAAAAAGATTTAAATGCGTGTGCAAGTCTTGGTACACTCTTATCACTGACCCATCATTCGTTGACAAGCACCTTCGCTTCGGTGTCAACAACAGCAAGAAATCATCCTCTGCACCCTTATTCTTGAGTTGGACTCGCCAAGAATTGTCGTTGGACCATATCTTTAATCGTCGTGACCACGAGGATCTTGATAAAGTATTGTCACTAGTCACTATCTGTGATGAGGATGATAGTAACGATAACCACCTTCCTTGTGTTATTGAAGAAACAAAAGAAGTGAACATTCCAAAGTGTGTGGGGTTCTCCCATTGTAATGGCATCATTTTCTTGATATGTCTGAAGAGTTATTTCATAACATAACATTACCGGATCAGATAAAAAGGGTAGATAGGCAATTGCCAAAGGGACTTGTGGTGTGGAATGAATCATTGGTCCTCTTTTTCACCCCCGAAAACTCATGGTTTTCAACATCTTTTGAAATGTGGGTTATGGCTGACAACATTGGTGGTGTTTGAAGGTTTTACTTGGACAAAACACCTTACGATCAGGCCACAAGCGTGCGTTAATTTGTATTCCCCCTTGACGTTTTGGAAGGACGACGAGATTTTATTTCAAACTAGAGATGGACGGCTTGTGTCGTACAACCTTTTTAGCCAAAAGCTTCAGATACTTTCCATTCATGGAGCAGTGTTGCCAGGAAGGACTTGTACTGATGTATATTTGAAGAGTCTAGTCTCGGTCATGAGAGGAACACATACAAAACACTGGCAAAACTAACTAGTAAGTTTGTTGCAGGCACCCTATTTATGACTGCTAAAATTTCGTTGTGATTTATATTTATAAAAGATAAATCCTTTAAGGATACATTTGTAGTATCTAACAAAAAAAAAAGATACATTTGTACTGAAAATTGTATAAAATGATGGTTAATTCCTCTGTTACTCTGTGGAGATTAGAGTCTCTCCAATCAAGTAAGCTGTAAATTTGTGCTTTTGTAGTGCTTCGTCAGTCATGGTTCTTGTAGTTGATGAGGCGCATTGATTTCTCCCCAAGAACAAGAATCTTGCATTATTTATATTTAACATGCACTACAGTCATAATACTTGTTTCGCCACTTTAAAGTGGTAAAACTACTTTGAGGTGCTAATTTCATATTGAAACTTAAGAACCTATACGCTATTTTAAAGCGATGAGTGATCTCTCTCATGTAGAAGATTGTGTCTTCCATATGCTCAAAAGCACTAGTGACGCTTTAAATAAAAATAAAATAAAAATAAAATAAAAAAACAAAACAAAACAAAAAAACAAAAAAAACAAAAACAAATACAAAAACAAAAAACGAAAAAAAAAAGGACGCATCTTGCAGCCATTTGGCAATGTCAAATGACAGCATGAGGTTTACTTAACAAGCATTGTTGCAAAACCAATGGAATGGATAGTGATGCTATAATGTAGAAGAGCATGGTGTGAAAAAATAACCCTTTGCTAGAAAGTGGTGTGAAATAGACTTGTAACGACAACTTTCACAGTTAAAAGTTTAGAGAATTGAATTCCATACTTCAGTCTTATTCTATAGGGTACTTTTCATTTGCTCTTTTTTGAACATATGCATCTTCCAACTCTATGTCACAAACATATCATGCCGAACAGCATGACAACTTATGAAGAAGCAACCTTTTGAAGGCATGTGGCGTTGTAGTCATCAAATTCTTTTACCCTGTTCAAACAACTCTTCAATTATTTACTTACTAGATCATTAAGTGCTGATATGGGGAAGTAACTTGTCAAGACCTGGCAAATTTACCAACACAAAACAGCGTCTTTTGGTCCAACAAGAATAATGCCAAGGCAGAAGCTAAACAAATAAAGTTGGTACGAGGAAAAGTAATTGCATTTATCATTTTTCTTTGAACTTGGATTTGGGGTGTACAAGAAAGAATCCAATTAGAACTATTAGTTCCATGTTTTTCCTAAAAGGGAAAGAACCACTTTCCCACCTCTATATTGACATTACAATAAACGTTTCACATACCTGTTCTTCAATTCCTTGTATCTGCGTAAGAACCAATACACACGCCAATGAAGCATCTAAGCTTTTTAGTATTCCACAAAATCTTCTACTTGGAGATCTGCCAATGTACTACTTCCACTGCTCTGTTTCATTTCATTACTGAACGTCTGAACCCCACTGGCATTGAATTGAAATCCTCTCTCCCTTTTTAATGACAAAACAAATTTACAAATCATAATTCGGGTGTCATTGAATGCCTGTGGATTCATCGAAAACAATGACTGTCTCCAAAATCGGTCGACTTTCTTCACCATTCGAACTCTCCAAACTCGAACATCTACAGCTATAATAGAAAACAGCACTCATCATGGAATCAATAAGCACCACAAACGAGTTCATGAGAACCAAGAGAGGCCCTTCCCACATCCGCGAAGACCCGTCTCCGTAGCTCAGCGTCTTCACTCTGTGCTCAAACAACCCCTCAACGAAAGCCATCCCGATCGCCGATCCCAAAAATATCAGCAGCCCCACATGCGTCTGCCCCTTGATCAAGACCCCGGACCGGAACAATGCCTCCGGTCCCGACACATCCTCAAGGACTGAAATTACCACTGCAATGCTGCAAACTATGACGGCATTGGCGAAAACGACAGAGAAAACGAGGCCAACCGCCACTGCGGCGTAGACCACCACATCCGGCGGGGCCCAAATTATCGACAAAACGTTGCAGACAGCGGCGAGGATAACGAAGAATAATGTGATGCATCCGACAATCACCATACACACCCAAATGTAAGTAGAAACAAGCCGCTTCCAAATCTTGCGAATGATTGCGAAAAACTTGGACGAATCGAATTGCTTCCTCGAATAGCTACAGTCCACGGCGTAAACCACCGCTGCTTTCGACAGCAAAGAGAGAGATACGTACAACGGGAAGCACATGACCGATGAAATCGCCATCTCCGCGAAACGATGACACGACTGTTTGACGAAAGGCCTCAATGGGAGTCCACTCGATTTGGCGATTAGCAACATCCTAATGGTGAGTCTCCTCACGAGCGATTGATCGACGAGGCCGTTCGACAAAACGACTGCGGAGACGGGGCAAATGAGCAGGGCGGCTATCGCCATTAAACCCGACGAATTGTAGCGCAGAATCCGCACGGTCTCGCGCAAAATCTCCAACGCGTTCATCGAACGGAACGAGTGATCGGAGCCGTTGGTTTGATCGTACGGCTCCAATTCGAACGCTCGCTGATGCGATCCCTCTTTTCTCAAATGGTCCAATCTCATCCTCGGAGAATTGATGGCGGAAATCTCCATTTTCGAATGTTGGCAAGAACAGAGCTCAGAAACTGGAACTGAAGGTTTATCGGATCAATGTAAAATACATCTGAGGAGAAGATTATGAAGAAGAAGAGATTCTGGAATCACGAAATCGATGAGGCCGAACTCAATCCTCGTTGATGGCGATGGAGATGAGGCGTTTCGCGATGAATTTCTGGGAATGGAGGGACAGGCCACGTGCAGTGTCGCTGCAGATGGAAGGTGTGGGGAGCTTCTTCCACAGCGGTCAATGTCAGCGAGCGAGGAATAAGGAAAAAAGAAATAATAGAAATAAATTGCATTATTTTATACTAGTTTATTTATTTATTTTTCTGAGCGAGGCGTGTGGGGCGTTAAATGTTTTGTCTGATTTTATATCTAACGGCAAAAACGGTCGGATTGGGCCAGCCTTGGACGGCGAGGATTTCGGCCACGGTCTTTTTTCTTTATTATTTATGAATTTAACTTTAAATTTGTCGGTGCAATTTATTTTGCCCCAAATTGGACCTTGGTGACTACAATAGTTCCTATGAATCCCCTTCCGCTCGACTAGCTCGTCTCAGTAAAGTCAAGGTTTTCCACGTTGACGACTTGACTGACGTAAAGTTATGGTCCATGACCCAAATCAGATATCTCTCGAGCACAGATTTAGGTTCGGCCTCAATAGGAATAAAACAGAGCACCTAACAAACGTATCTTTACATACCACAGACTACAAGATCGCCCAACCAGCTAGGTCAATACTCGAATATTAGTTTACACCTATCTTACACATACAAAATGAAATCCAGAAATACCACTGATTGGGGTAACCTCGCGTTATTAAGTTGACGTCTAGTTCATGAATTCATAACTATGATTCAGAACGAGCCACGAATCATAATTCGAACCATGACACGAATCTATCTTCCAAGCGCACGCTAAGGGTTTGTTTGATAGATAGATCCAGAATCATGATTCTGAATCTTAGTGCATAATCAGTGTTTGTTTACAGTGATTCTGAATCATGATTATGAATCAGTGTTTAGTTTGGATGATTCAGAATCTGATGTTATGTTTTAAACCATAATCACTCATAATTCTAAAACCACCCCCTCTTGATTCAAGATGATTCAAACTCCTGATTTTGAATCATAATTTGAACCTAAAATCATGAATTATGGTTTTAGTTTCAGAATCATGGTTCTGGTTTCAGAATCATGATTAGGATCACCTTAGTTTAAATCTTCATACCAAACGAACCCTACTTTTCATGGGGTTTTGTGACCGAAAGTTAAGTAGTGGTGTTTTTCTTTGAGAGTTGCTTGTTCATTTGCACTCAAACTCAAAAAAAAAAAAAAAATTTGAACTCAAGTTACAACTTTATTCAAGTTCATATTCTTTTGTAAAATTTGAGTTTGAACTTGAGTTTGGAGCTAAAATATGAATTCAAGTTCTCCCTTCAACTCAAGTTATTGAACAATATTTTTTATATTCTTAAAATTGCCAAAACTTTTTCATTTTAATTCCGATTGAGATGATTTTTTTTTCTATGCGTTCACAACGAAGAGACAAATAAAACCCCACTCATATACCATGTTAAAATTTTCCATCACCATTCAGTTTTTATTAAAATACTATCTAAATACAAATTTAAATTTTGACCCACCCAAACATAAACTCAAATAGATTTTTAATTTAAATCATAACTCAAAATGTGCACATCTAAACACAAACTCAAATTAGAGTCACAACTCAAACCATACTCAAATACACCTTAACTCAAATCAAGATTTGAACTCAAGTCACCTTAACTCAAATCAAAATCTGAACTCAAATCATCTTAAGTCAAAAAATGCAAATGAACAAACCTAAGATGTGAAAGTTTACGCCTATCATTCTAGTACTTAATCTAAAGTGACTCTCAGTTTGCTTTATTGTCCTCATACTTGATCTAAATAGAGAGAGAATCTAGAGACAAATTATATTCAAACAACCCCATTCATCTCAATTTGAAAGGGGTGCACCAAAAAAATGCCAACTCGTCCAGCCCCACTCCCTAACCCTGCTTGCCTTTTATGCCACATCACCAACCCGCGGTTTCAACTTGCCCGCTCGTAGGTTAGTGCAGGTGGGTTGCCATTTTGCACTTTTAAGGGTAGGTAATCCGACCTGCTTGTCATTTTTTTTTTCCTTTTTTATGTACATATTAGGCATGAATGTTAAGTAAAGTTAGGTTTTTATAGTAAGGTATTATAAGTATATTTGTTGACTTTCATGGAGTAAATAATTATGAATATGTATTGGCATAGAAAAAAAAAAACTATACATAATATGTTGGTTTAGGTTAGGATCTAAATATATATTTTGTTGATAGTTTTTTTTTATTCTTTTTTAAACAAGTATGATGAAAAATGAATGATGTTTGATAATCATATTGTAGTTATTAAATTTTAATTCTTAATTAAGTATAGTAAAAGAAAAAAAAAAGGTTCAGCTCTTTACTCTTATTAAATGTCAGTCATCTACTTAAAGAAATACCGGAAAGATTGGATTAACATGCTTTGAAAGTAATATATATGTATAGACAAGGACCATTTATGTGATTGAATATTTACAACTAGCTAGAATGTGAACACAATCTAATGTATTGCTTGATGAATTGATGTTTTTTTTACAAGTATTATGAAATATGAAAGGATTAAATTACTCACGATTCATATTAGTCACTTTGAAATGTTAAAGAAAAAACAATTAACTTTTATTTAAAAAAAATCCAAAAGGTGTTTTTAATTTCATTTTTACACCTTTTTTTAAGTCATTGGGCCTATTTTAGCCCAACCCGCACAACCTGCTTGCAAATGGTCTGCCCTTTTACAGACGGTTTGTGGTTTTACTACCTTAATGACATGTTTACTTATCCGTAATTAAAGTAGACATGAATCAAAATAACAAGATTTGGAGTGGATATGAATCGGAGTCAGAATAAGATACTTGCTTAGGTTTTAAGAATCAGTCTCAATCTCATTCATGCGTTTATTTACACCCAGAATCGGAATAAACTATTATAAATTTACTTACCTACCCATTTAGTAGATTATTGTGTATTGAACTTTAAAAAAAAATTGTATATTATGCTAACTATCTTAATATTATGATAACTAATTAGTAATTAGATTTTTTTAATCACACATACATTTTTTTAATTAGGAATTAGAAATTGTAATTGTCGGGATCTCCACGAATCCTTGAAATGATGTTGTGCAATCAAGGGGTAAAACATGGTTTGATCACATATTCAACAAATAAACACAAAAAAATAAACTTGTGATTAAAAAAAAAAAAACCCCCCACAATGATTTATGTTATTAACTCACCTTGAAGAGAAGAGGGATGCTCTTGGTTGTTGTGGATACAATGCTGTGTTTTGAGGAGAAGAAAATATCAGAGGAAGTGAGCAAGGAGATACGAGAGGCGTAAAAGTAAATTAGAGCATTTTCAATTTTTTACTTTTTACTTTTCTATTCTCAAATTTGTTAGTAGAATTAAGAGTAAAATCGTAATTCATATTTACTATCAGGATTGAGAGTGTCAATCCGGTGGAGGGTGGGGGAGTGCTAATTCTATTCCTCAACCTCAAATTGGTATGGGACCCACACACTCCCACTCCCATTCTAAGATAAAAATGGATAGGTAAACATGGAGTTGATTTCGATTCTCAATTCCCATTCTCCACTTCTGATAAGTAAACATGCCATAAAACCTATCTTTGAGAAAACCTAACCTCTGCACCCGTTTGCCTATGCACACTTAGAATTTTTAGCTAATGAGATATCTCGTGTACCCAAAAAGTAAAGAATAACATTTTACTAACTCAAGTAATTATAAAATATGTTATATGTGTAATTTTTAATTCTTCTTACATCCCGATTGCAGTTTGTGTTTGAATCGCGATGCTTTTGTGGGGACTATCTCGTGCTTAATTTCGATCCAACTCAGGATTGAAATCTTTAATAGTGCATAATTAATCTTCTTTCTTTCAAGAAATAAAACAAAGTTTGTGGTTTTAAGAACGCTAGTTCGAAATCATTGAGTATACATCAAGTTATATTAAATTGCTATAGATTTTCAGGAGCAAATTAGAAAAATAAATCTAATCTCATGTTCGTACAATATCAGTATATAATACCTTCATAAAAGTTAAAAAAAAAAAATTAAAAACACTATCCTTTTTTTTTATTGAAAAAATAGTTGTTTCACCTCAAGTTCAATAGAGAATTGCTAAAGAATGCTAGATACATGTGAGTGTGGCATACAATGTCATCGCATAAAAGTTTGGAACCCTACACTATATTTGACAATTTAACATATGCAACAACATCGTCATTTAACTCACTCATCATAAAAACATTGTAATTTTTACTCTACACAGAGAGAAAAAATAAAGAAAAAACCAGACAGATTGTGAATTGAGAGAGAGAGATTTTAACCTCAAATTGACTGTAATTAAATCGAGAGAGAGTATCATAGTTTATATTTTTTAACCTCAAATCGACCGTAATTAAATCGAGTTAAGCATTTTCTGAAGAAATTAAATTAAAAAAAATGCGTGTCTGGTTGATTAGGTAATTATCTAAGCTATTATGTGTAGCCAGCAAAAAGCAAAAAAAAAAAAAAAAAAAAAAAAAAAAGGTTTTAAAAACTGATTGAATGCTTATTCATCACCCGACACGTTTTACTCTTTTTTCGTTTTTTTCTACTGCCAATGAAAAAACATGTTTACGTGCTTATACGGCAGTGATTCATTTTTATTTCTATTGAGACAGTTTTTGATATATTCCTACCAGCTATGCGTGTTATTGTGGGGGCTCTTACAAAGGACGTAATATACTTATTTCTTATAAATTTTCAAGTTCCATTTCAAAAATTTTAATTGAAGAAAAATATATATTAGATTACTATAGATTTTTATTACAAAGGACGTAATATACTTATTACAAAGGACGTAATATCCCATCAGTTTTGATCTGAAAATACTCATATAATATATAAATGTTGAAGTATAATATGCCGTTTATTTTATATGACAATGATTTTAAAAAGTAAAATAAAAATAAATTTATTTATCTTAAGTTAGGATTATATCTTTTGAAAGCTATTGTTACAAATAAAATGACGTAAAACTATAGCCTCGTTCATTTTATTAGATTAAATCATAACTCAATTTTTTATTACGTTATTCTTTTTTACAAAAATTTGAAATTTATTTTTCATGCTACAGTGTCTTTTCTCAGAGGCTCTTCTTTTTGGTAGAGGCATCCGATGGAAGCGGTGACTCGACCATTTTTCGGTATCTTCTCAGATCGCTTGATTTACTGCAGCTTCCTTACTCTTTCTTAGTGGAGGCCGGTTGTCTCTCTAAAATTCGATCGATGTCTTTTGAGTGTCTCTTTGTTTTAGTTTCTAGTTTTGTGTTTAGTGTGTAATAAAAGCGACATTTATCGCCATTCCTTAGTTGTTGGTCGCTGGTGTATGTTTGGCTTTGTTTTATAATAACGTATATGGTTTTCCACTTTTGGGTTTTGATTGTATTTCCCACCTGATTAGGTTGTTTTATTGATAATGTGGGTTTTTTTAGTCTCGTTAGAATTTTGTCTATGTTATATTGTTTATGTCCCTTTTATGTAGAGATTAGTGATCTATCCCTCAAGAGCTTGTGTGTCGAGGTTTTTATTTTTTGGCCCGTTCATTTCACTGATTCGAGTTTAGAATTCGAGTTTTGCTACAGTAAAAAGCTCTCACAAACAATCACATCTAACTTTTTTGCTACAGTAAAAAGCTCTCACATAAAATCACATCTCAACTCGAATTAAAAACTCGAATCAGCGAATTAAACAGAATTATTTTTTATATTTTCGGACTAAGGCGTATTTCTGTCTCTGATGGGTTATTAGTTTATATTGTGTTTTGTTTCTCTTGGTTTTATTTAAACCTTAAAAAACAAAAAACAAAAAATATCTACCATATACTTCATTCTCTTGCTAAAATTTTATTACATTACTGGATTGGTTTTCAGAAACAAAAACAAGACTTTTGCATAAGCAGACAATTCCAAAATCCACAGGCCAGGGCCCCTCCGTCTCCAAAACGACCTTTCCAGAAGCCATATCACAGACAGACAGGTCATCTTCATCTTCATCCTCAACACTCTCTCCATCCCTCTATCCAATCCAAATTCCCAATTCCCAATTCCAAGTTCCTCTCTTCATCGGCCATGGCGACCGCACCACCACAATCGCCGCCGTCGCTGAACCTCTGTGCGATCCTCTCCTTATCGAAACGCATAATCAACGCCCACTCCCGCCACTTCCTCGCCCTCGCTGTCCTCTTCCTCCTCCCTCTCTCCTTCTCCTTCACCGTCTTCCCCACCCTCCAAACCCTCCTCGCCGATCACTTCCCCAACAACTCCCAAATCTTCATCTCCCTCGACGACCACCCCCACCACCACCACCGCCGCCAGCCCCAGATTCCGACCAAGACTCTCCTCCTCGCCCTCGCCTACGCCGTCTTCGTCTTCCTTTTCTCTCTCTGCGCCGTCGGATCCATCACCTGCAGCGTCTTCCACGGCTTCTTCGGCCGCCCTGTCAAGCTCCTCTCCGCCGTTGGATCCATCATCGCTTCCTTCTTCCCGCTTCTATTCACCGCTCTCATCGTCCAAATCATCGTCGCCGTGATCTCGGTCATCTTCGCTCTCTTCGTGTTTCTGGTGATCTCCGCGATTCGGCTGCTAGGGTTTCAAATTGAGTACTCCTCGCCGTACTTTCTCGGATTCTGCGGCGCCCTAGGGATTGCTCTGCTCCTCGTTCTGGTCTATCTTCAGGTGAATTGGACTCTGGTAAGCGTGATCGTGGTGGTGGAGAAAAGCTGGGGTTTCGAATCGCTGAGGCGAAGCGCGGGTTTGATCAGAGGGATTAGAGGCACCGCGTTGTCTCTGCTGCTGTTTTTCGGGCTCTTCGCGGCGCTTCTGGCGTGGTGTAGCTCGTTCTCGGCGATGGTTCTGGACGATGTCTCCGATGGGTGGAGGAAATTGGAATTCGTCGTGCAAATCGTCGTCACTTCGACTTTTCTTACGATTGTTCTGCTCTACAACGTCGCCGCCACCGCCGTGTTATACATGTACTGCAAAGCCGTCCATGGCGAGCTGGCTATGGAGATCGCTGAGGAGTTCGCGAGGGAGTACGTTTGCTTGCCCTTTGATGAAGGGAAAGTTCCCCATGTCGTTTCCGTTGCCTATGCTTGAAGAACGCCATGAGGTTAGTCAATGACCTTTGTAATTTCAATAGCTGAAGTTTTGCTCTTTTTTGTTGTTTGTTGTGTAAGAATGGTGGTTTACAAATGGTTAAAACAAAGAATAGCTAGTTACTAAAATAAAAAATAAAAAAAATAAAAAAATAAAAGAAAAGAAAATGAAGGTGCGTCATTTATTATAGAATCATGTTCATGTGTTTATGGAAAAATTATGGATCTTTCATTTAAGAAACGGAACTATAAAGTGTGTAAATAACTAAATATATTGTTTAGAAGTCTCAAGATTTTGTTCTTATACGATGGCATTCGAGAAGTTCTATTCTCCTTACCAAGTGATAATGTTAAGAACGTAACGGGACTATAAAAGAGAAGAATCCATAAATGTAAAAGCAACCAGACTGGTAGATCAGACATTGAGGTTTGAATTTATGCCTTGCCTCGTGATGAACAGAATTATTTGTATCAGCATTATTGTTATGAATTGGGGGGGGGGGGAGACCCATCAAGAAAAACGTCTCCTTTTCTCCTATTTAGTTTGCTCATTCTGTAGACTTTAGGATTAAAGTTCTGAAATCAAGGGAATTTGTGAGTAATGCGAATACATAAATGATGTCTGTACTCAATATTATGAAGTTAGATATCACTTTAATTCCTCTAGCCTGGACTTCTCTGTTTTCATAGTCTTGGTGATAACTGATAACTTGAGTGGCACGACCATTGAATAATTGGTGAAAGCAGAGGTTAGTAAGTTATTCAAAGAATAAGTGAATCGTTCGTCTTAAATTCCAGACCGTAGTTTAACCAAATCATGTAGGAAGGTTTCAACATCAATAGCTCAAAAACCTCTAGTACACGCAAAAAGAGATTGATTTGGTTTTCATATTGACTGGTGCAAACACTTCTCTATATAGACTCTTTAATGATCTTAGGCAGATAGTGTCGAATCTAAATCAGATGACATCAAGAGCCATCTCATCTCTTACAATCCATTCGTTTTCGTGGTAACCATCGCATTTCCATACATGCATGCATGCATGCATACATGCATTCATACATACATACATTCATTTATTTATTCCCTGCTTTTGGAATTTTTGTAGTTTTTATACATCAATGTTGTTCCCCAGTCCATGTCGTTTCCATGTTTTAGGATATTTTCCCCCCGAATTCTGTCCTTTTTAGCTCATTCAAATCGCATTTCAATTTTTTTCGTGTCGCTCCTAAATATTATTGGCGTTGCTTCAGTTTATATCGTTCTTAGCATTTTGCCGGTTCCTCTGCCTCTTGTTTTACCGTTGTTTTTCTTGTCCTTTTTCTGCTCAACCTTTGCTAGTCCATTTTCGCCATCGTTGTTGAGTATTTGCGTCGTTTATGTAGTTAAATATCATTTGCAGTTCATGTCGTTTGTTTAAGTTATTGTTGTATTCGAAATATTGTTATTAACTTATTTGTGTTATGAATAGTAGCTGGACCTAAGTTAAAAGTTACTATGCAAATCAATCAAAATCACTATTTTTGTCAGAATCTTAGTGTAAATAGTAACTGTAAATAGTAAGCACTATGTAAATAGTAACGGTGAATAATGTCAAAAATTATCCTATAACTCTTTATTTTATTAATGAAATTCTCTTTTTTAGTTTCTCTGTATAAAGTTTTTCTTCTTAGTTTCCATAACAATTTGAAATTTTTATTTTGGTTTCTAGAAATCAAGTCGTCTTTAGAAAGACGTCACGTCGTTTGTTCCATTCCCGAATCTTGTATTTCAACGTCATTCTTTAATGTTTGTTGTCCTTTGTGTGGTTGTTTTCGTCTCTTATAGTTGCCATCGTTTACATGTTATTGTCGATTTTACATTTAACGTCGTTTCCCTAGTTGATGTCGTTTTATTTCAAAAAAAAGTTGACGTCATTTTATTTCAAAAAAAAAAAATCGATGTCGTTTTCCGATATTATCATTATATACACATTTAGTCTCGTCTCTTTGGATGCCATAACGTTTCTCAAAGCAACCGTTGTTTTTCATGGTCCTTGCTGTATATTCTTTTATTATCTTCTTTTTTTCCTTAAATTTCATTTGTCGTTTTTCACCTAGTGTCGCTTCGTAGTCTTATCGTCACTGCGATTAAATGTCGTTTTTTATGATGAAAACCTCCGTTCAAGAATAAATTAATAATAGATATTAATTGATCTTTCATAATTAATAGTCTAAATTTAAATTAGTTTTAAATTCAGAATAAATTTCAAATCATAGAATTATCAAGATACTTTTAAAATAACTAACCAAAAGTCAATTTCCTTAAAAATTTAAGGATTGGATGTTTTTTTTTTTTTTCTAAACATTTCATTGTTTAGAAAGTGAATGTTATGTTTTAAAGATCGGGGTACAAAGTGTTATAAGTCGTATAATTCAGGAGCAATTTTTGGGTTCTTGATTGAAATAGCGTGTGTTTGATCTACAATTAGTTTTATCTTAGCCCTACACCTGATAGATAGGAGAATAAACAATGTGTCAACTACATCAAATCAATTGAGGAGCTTCATTGACACATAATTAGCACCAAAGCAAATATATACCTAAATCCATGTTCACAAATTTAATCAAAATGAATAGAAATATTAACTTAGTAATCAAATATCCATTTTTAAATAACCATTACAAACCTCTAATGACAATTAGTTTAGGGTAAAATCCAAAAATACGAAGGTAAAAAGTATTATTTATGACCTCTCATTAAAAAATAAATAATTATAATGTAATTAATAAAGAGAAGAGAAAATAAAAAGGCACAGTGACATTTAATTATTTAAAATAAGATAATGCATTTCGTTTGGGGTCATCTTGAGTTTTCGAAGCCTATTAATTTAACTGAACGAGAGAGGACAACTCCAATTCTAATCAAACCTTTCAAATTACTCGCGGCTTGATTCAAAACTTATGCAAAATACTGTCGGACCCCGCAATTTCTTCGCTCTCAGCTTCCTCATTTCTTCTCTATCAGCTTCCTCTTCCTCATCCCCGCCTCCATCACCACCCTCCTCTATCCGACACTCCAGTGACAATTAAAATTTGTAATGCATTTCGTTTCAATAATTAATTTTTCCGAGGAAAAATGCTTGGGACACTATGGTGTTTTGCACCACAAATAATAGAGAGTTGATTATACTTTCTATGTTGTGGCTCTCATTCTCTATTAGTGCTGTCTTTTAGCGATGTTTTTTTTTTTCTTACTTGGTAGTACTATGAAAAATATTTAAGGAACGCCATCAATTTTAAGCACCTAGTAAAAGTGAACTCCACCTGTTAGTCTTATGTTGTATCATCATTTGTGGTCCATAACATACATTGTTCTACTACCATCGATCGTTTACTTCATATTACATTAGATATATATCCAAATCAAAGGTTTGTGAATAAATGCAAATTAGATTCCAGCAAAAATAAATAAATAAATAAATGCAAAGACATGAAATGAAAGCAAAACAGCAGCGAGTAAAATAAGAAATGTGCTCCCATTAACCTTTATCCGTTATACCAAAATCAAATCTTTTGCATTCAAATAATTTAAGGTCAAAAAAAAAAAAAAAAATCCAGTACCCAAAGCAAAGCATCCCAACCCAAAAAAAAAAAAAAAAAAAAAAAAGGAGGTGAGGAAGTCCTTACTTCTACAACTTCATTAGTGGCAATTGATGATCAGAATGAATATTAGAGTAATTTAAGTAAGACTATGGATACCAATTTAAGAAAGTGTTTAAGATTTATGTTCAATTTGTCAGCTCTAATTGCTCTCTCTATGTTAGAATGTAAAACTATATATCATTTATCCACTTCCTAACAACTTAAGTTTTTGAGAAAAATGAGAAATTAACACTAGAAATATGTTAGAATGTAAAACTATATATTATTGATCAACCTCCTAACAACTTAAGATTTTGGGAGAAATGATAAATTAACACTCTAGAAATATGATATACGAGAAATTCCGTCCTGTTAATTTTAAGATTAAGTTTATCCAAAGTAGCAAGCCAAATCTTCTACAGCGACTAAGCAATCATTCTCCAAACATTAAATACAAGCCATTTTTGATAAAATGTGTGATAGGATTTATTTTTTTATTTTTTTTATTTTTAATTTTCAAATAAAAAATGGTGCTTTATCATGATTAAACGTTGGAAATTTTTAAGTTCCAGTACCTAATTTATTTAAGAATGAATTGACTATAGTTTAGATTTAACCCTTGGTTTACCTTATTTAAATTTTGCTCAATTATTTCGCACTCCTCCGGTTTTTGTAAGAAAAAAATTGGTGAAGCAAGAAAGTTAATTTGGCTAGCAATGCTTTTAAATTTTAACGTGTGGTTTAGCCCTTTTTTTAACTTTTCTCGAATATTTCGCACATTCCGGTTTTTGCAAGTAAAAAACTCACTAGTTTGATACGAATCGCTATAAATAACATGGTTGAAAATATAAGAGTTGATGCTCACCTTGCTTTTTCAACATTTTTTTTTTTATTGTCAAATAAAGCGAGTTAGATTTGTCAACTTGTTTTTCCCTATCAACCTTCAGAAAAAATTTCCCTTACGCTTACCAATATAAATATATCCGCGTTTCATTTAAGATTTAGGTTCCAAAATTTTAAATGCTGACTTTCTGATTATTGACTAATTGTTTTTCAAAAAAAAAAAAAAAAATGTCACACATTTGTCATTACCACTATGCTTACTTTTCAAACTGTAGCGTGCCAATTCTTCTTAATTCACATGTCTCACTATCACTACGTGTCCAAAATTTTGACACCACAATATCAAAAAAGCTTATGAATCAAAATGAGACGTACATAGCAGTGAAACTTATCCCAATATCTGATGACAACTAATATTTTAGCTTAATTGTAGTATTAGTGATGAATCAGCTCAGAGATTAGTTAGTTAATTAACATCTGCTTAATGAGTTTGTTATTTCTGCAACTAACTGAGATGTGTAATTATGATTGTGTTAACCAAACTTGATGAATGAAGGATCACTTCTAAATCATTTCTCAGAAGAGTTTCTCTTACTTCTAATTATGATTGTGTTAACCAAACTTGATGAATGAAGGATCACTTCTAAATCATTTCTCAGAAGATTTTCTCTTACTTCTAATTATGATTGTATGGGCGGTTTTAATTGTTAACTTGGCTCGCATAGGATATGTACAGAAAACCATGTATATGGCTGCATTTGATAGGATATTGTCATTTCAAAACACTGAGGCATTTCTCTCTTTTAGCTTGCAGGAATATAAATATATATTATATATATGTATGTATGTATATACTTAAACTTGTGGTGGGCTTTACGTTTCAAATTGTTGACTTAGCCTATCAATTTCTGGAAGAAATTTCACAAACATTTCCTAAAGACTAGCTAAAGGGCATCTAATGCAATTGGTCTCGATCCAGGTAGTTTCCATTACTACGCATAAAAGAAATTTATTTATATTCTCCCCTTAGTTAAAAGAAAACTGTATCTAGCCATCCTAGAGCAAAAAAAAAAAAAAAAGTCAATTCATATTGTATTAATTTATTATTAATAAAGACCTGACTAGGTGAAGCGTTGTTCTTTCTTCTTGCTCAGGGGGTCAGGTTATACCCTCAACTTAAGACATAAGTTTTACACCAAACGAAACTCAAAATTCCACAATCCTAAATCCTCTTGATCGTCAGTCATATTCCCAATATTCTTCCTTAATCTCCTATCATAATTTCTTATCAGGCTCAGCCATGGCAACTACACCAACAAAACAAATAAACCTCTGCAGTGTACTCTCCGAGTCAAGGCGACTCATCAAATCCCAACGCCGCCACTTCCTCTCCCTCGGCCTCCTCTTCCTCCTCCCTCCGACCATCGTCACCGCCACCTTTCCGAAGCTCCAATCCCTTTTATCCGATTCCATAATCTCCTTAACCTTCCTCTATCCAAATAGTAGTTTTGGTACTTCTCCTGATCATGATCAACACCCGGCCGGTACTATTTCCACAAACACCCTTTTGATATCTCTCGTTTACCTTCTCTCCACCTTAGCCCTCTCTCTCTGTGCCGCGGGTTCGATCACCTACACCGCCTTCCACGGCTTCTACGGTGAAGCCATCAAGCCCAAGTCCATTCTCAACTCGATAGCCACCTCCTTCTTCCCACTTCTCGCCACCGCTCTTATTTCCCACGCAATACTTTTCTTGATAGGTGTCATCTTTGCTTTCTTTTCCGCCGCTGTGATCGGCGGGGCTTGGCTGCTAGGGTTTCAGACTGATCCCTCGTCGCCTTACTTTCTTGTGTTCTGCGCTTCCATGGTGGTTCTTTTAGTGTTCGTGGTGATACATCTGCAAGTGAATTGGGCTCTGGCTTCCGTGGTTGTGGTACTGGAATCAACTTGGGGGTTCGAGGCCTTGAATCGGAGTCGGAATTTGATCAAGGGAAGGAGATGGCTCGCCTTCTCTTTGTCTTTGATTTACGGGTTTGTGTATGTAACGCTGGGGTGGAATATTACTTATCCGGAGAAGGATGAGAATAGGAAGCGTTTGGTATTAATATTTCTCTTCGTTGTACAAGTTGTGTTGACTTCGAGTTTTCGAGTGCTGGTTAAGATTAGTGAAATGAATGCGAATACTGCCTTGTACGTGTATTGCAAGGCTAATATTCGTGAGGGAAAGGAGTCTGGTACTGGTCACTACGTGAGATTGGTCGATGACGATGAGAAAGTTTAATTATAATCGCGTTGTTTGTGTTAATTATGTGTTTAATTATGGTCCCGTTGTTTGTGATAATTATGTATTTAATTAAAACTTTAGGGTTTGTTGTCAAGGCAAGATGATCTGCAGTGCCTCTATAAGATATGGACAGCCAAGGTGGCGCTATGAGGTGCCCTCAGAACAAATAAGCAATGTAAGAGTGGGACCCACTTATTTTAAAAGTAAAAAAAAAAAAAAAAAAAGATTCTCGTTTTTCCTGGTCTCCTTGTTAGTTTTCCGTGCTCTGTCTTTCTTCTTTATCCAACCACTATCAAATATTTAATTATAAAAAAAAAACCATAATCAAATATTTTGGGGCTTCTGTTAGTTAATTGGAAGAGGGTATATCACATGCATGATGAAGAAGATAAAAAAAGAGCGGTGTCTTCAAACCTATTTTCTTGGCAGTTTTTATTTTTTATTTTTTTATTTATTGAGTTTTCTTGACAGAGTTTATATAGGATTTCTTTATTGTTGTGTTTTCTTGACTTCTCTAATGGAAATGGGTTTATGGTACAACCAGAGTACCAAACCGAGAAAGTAGGAACTTCATCATTATTTTCCCTTAAGAACAAGGCCACGATCGTAAAAATTCACCCTCTCACAAGCCTGGGTTTGGAACGGAAAAAAAGAAAGTTCAAAATGAAACAAATTTAAATCTCCCTACTGTTTGGCCGGCAAGGTGTGCTGGTGTGCGTGGAACTGTGAAGCATGGACGAAAATTTCCCCCATATTTTAGAAATTTATGTTATTTTAAGGTCCCGAAGTATTTTTAGTTGCAAAATAATTTTTCTGATATTTACTGAAATTTATCAAAAATTTTTAGAGAAATTTTTTTACATTCAAAATATTTTTTGAGACATTAAAAATTCTGAAATTTCAGTAGAAATTTTAAAAATAACAGATAAATTTCACAAACTTTTGAGAAAATTTATGTAAACGAAACAATATTGTAGAGGTCCTAATGTATTATTTTTGTACAAATTTATTTATTTATGTATTTTTTTTTAAGTTTATCATATTATAAGATATCAAAAAAACATATTAAGTGTTAAAATAAATATTTTTAAGGCCCGTTTAGTTTATTAATGTAAATTTTTAATTTGAGTTGAGATATATTTTTATGTGAATATTTTTTATTGTAATAAAAAAATTAAATATAATTATTTTTAAGAATTTTTTATTATAATAAAACTTGAATTTTAAATTCGAATCAGCGAAATAAGTGGAGTCTTAATTTCTGTATATTTTTTAATATTTCTATGACATTGATATTTTCTCCAAAATTCTTTTAAATTTGAAGTATTAATATTTTTACCGAAGTGAGGAAGAGAAAGAAAGAAAAACATAATTAGAAAAAGAACCAAACGATGGGTCCCACGGTTCTGTTTTCAAAGCAACATTTTTAATTAATTTTGAGAATCAATAATGGGTCCCACAGAAATCGAATTCAACGGCCATTCGGCAGTCCACGTAACATGGTGAGGCGGTGCGCGTAACTTTATTCTATGCATAAAATATTAACCGATTCAGTTCGTTGACTTGAGTTTAGATGTAATTTTATGTGATAATTTTTTATTATAATAAAAAAAATTAAATGTGTATATTTTTAAAAATTTTTTACTATAATAAAATTTAAATTTTAAACTCAAATCAATAAAATAAATAATATAGCTAAAAATTTTTTAACTTTATTAATTACGCCCATGATCGTAAGGTCAAATGGTATGAGTTTAGATGAAGTGCGGTTCAGATTTGGTATGTAATTTAGGGTTGGCAATTCGTGTTCGCGGGCCGTGTTCAGGCCGACACGATTACGGCACGATACGATTATAGTGAGCACGAACACGACACGATTAATAAACGTGTCAGAAACTCAAACACGAACACGACACGCTAATAACACGGTTAACACGACACGCGAACACGATTATTAAACGTGCCGTGACGGGCCGACACGAAAAAAACACGTTTATGACCCAACTAGCAAAAATAGTGAATTTTATATTGTATTCAAAACTATATTAATTGACTATTTAATATCACTTATAGATAAAATCATGCATAATAGCCAACACACATTAAAATATCTAAAACATCACTTATGACATATGTTTCAAAACATATCAATTACTAAACATCTAAAGAAGTTTGAAAACATAACCAAATACATTTAAATAAGTTTGAAAACATAACCAAATATTTAAAAATTTAAGTGCATAAAACATAATCAACCATCTACAAGTCCATTGGCATATTTAAGTGCATAAAGCATAAAACATATTTAAAGTTTAGGTTTATCCATTACAAATCATCCATTGGCATTTTGTAATCAACCATCTACAAGTCCATCTACAAATCATCCATCTACAAGTCCATTGGCATTTTGTAATTTTATCAACATGCTATAACTTATTTAAAAGTTAGAGTGTTAAATTAAGTTAACCCTTTTATCAAACACCCTTCATGCAAATGAGAGAATATAAATAAAACGGGCTGTGAGAGAATGAGAGAGAATGAGAGAAAGAGAGAAAGAGAATTAGAGAAGCTAGGGTTTTATCTTAAAATATATATATATATATATATATATATATAGATTAATAAACGGGTCGGTTCGGGTCGTGTCAGCCCGATTATGGTCCGTATAACTAAACGGGTTAAGCGTGTTAAACGGGCTGGCACGAATCCAACCCGTTTATTTTCATGTTATTCGTGCCAGCCCGTTAACGACCCAATTAATAATCGTGCGGTCTAAACTCATTTATCTCGTGTCGTTTTCGTATCGTTTCATCGTGTCGTGTCTGAAATTGCCGGCCCTAGTAATTATGTATGTGTGGGTATTGACTAATTCACATGAACCGAGGATATTGCAGAGAAATTGCTTGTGAGGCGTGGATTAATTCGTATACATCTTTAGATGTAAGCTACTTCCATGATCAATTTTTGTAAAGATAAGGAAAAAGGTTAAAAATAGCACTCAAAATAGTAAAAAAAACAAAATTTATTTATATCATTTCATTCAAAAATAAATAATTATTGTTCAATTAATAAAGAAAAAATAAAAAATTACGATGCCTCAATTATTTAGACGGACATAAATAATATATATCTACAAAATTAACCATGAAAAATTATGTACTTTTATAAAATAATAATGTGCGGCAATTATAAGACCAACTTTAAAAAAAAAAAAAAGAAAAACAAAGCTTAAATATAATTTTTGTTTTTTCATTTGTCAATAGAAAGAAGATAAAAGGCGTGTTTGGGATTGCTTTTAAAATTCGCAAAAGCACTTTGCATAATAAACGACGTAATTATAGTGTTTGATAAAAATGTACAAAAACACTTTACACATAAATCAATGTAGTTTTTAAATTATTTTGAGAAGTTATAATTTATACCTTTTAAACTCTACTAATGCTTTTACTTTTACTTTAAATAAAAATAATGCATCTATTAAAAGCACAGTAATTATTTTAAAAGTACATTAATTCCAAACTAGTCCCATAGTGCTCTCCGCATGCACCGTCAGATCAATCACCTACACCGCTTTCCACGGCCTCCAGCGCCAACTCATCAAGCCCAAATCCATTATCAAGTCCCTCTCCATTTCCTTCTTCTCGCTCTTGGCCATCACGCTTCTCGTCGATGGCAATCATTTTTGCGATTAGTATTATCTAGGGGTAGCAATTCGTGTTAACAGGTCGTGTTCGTGTCGTGTTGAACCCTTCAGTTGACACGAATAGGTCTGACACGAACACGACCCGTTTATTAATCGTGTCAAAATTCAAAACCCAAACACGACCTGTTTATTAGCGGGTTGACACGATATGACACGATTAACCCGTTTATTAAACAGGTCGTAAACGTGTCGTGTCAACCCGTTGATTACCTACCAACACGTTTACGAAACAGGTCATAAACGTGTCGTGTCAACTCGTTAATTACCTGTCAACATGTTTATGACCTGGTTACTGTCAACACGTTAACACGTTTGAACCTACTTCAGAACCTATTTCAGAACCTATTCCTGAACATGTTTCTCAACCTGTTTAACATGATATAGAGACATTATATAATCTAAGTTCAAAATTAAAACAAACACATGAAAGTCTCTCACAAATTAAAAAACAAACACATAAAAGTCTCACAATTTAGAAAACAAACATACATGATTAATAATTAAACCTTTAAATAATTTGTTGCAATGTGGGGACTCCAAGTGCATCATTACGTTTAGGAGACGTTGATCCCTGTGAGAATTTTCTTTTCTAGAGTTCGACGCCTTGAGTTTGTGTATTAAAACTCGATCCGTCAATCTCTTCAACCTCAACATCCACACTTTGAGACTCAATTGACTCAATATCAATTTCCATTGTGTTAAATTAATCTGCACAAAATAAAACATTAGTTAACATTAGTTTAATTGTAATGAACAGAGTATCTAATGAGCTTAAGTTACTAAGGTTCACTTCAACCTGAAGAAGGTCATTTTTTTTATGAACACGGATTAAGTCATTTCTATATTAACCTTCACATAGCAAAAGCTATAACCGCTGGTTCCCGAATTGAATTCGGGTGCGGAAGCGTGGCGGGGAGGCAGATCGTATATAACAAAAATTTCAGAAAAACTTTTGAGATACTCTATAGATTATATTAATTTATGCACGAATAAATTAATCCCATTAATTTATATATCAAGAACTCAATCCGGAAAAATACCTGGAAGCTGACTCGAATGATAACTTGAATTCTTTGACCACGAATAGTGCTTACTCCAAGTTTGTGTTTAGAATACCAAAGTCTTTCACGTCAATTCCTTGATTCCACGTAGACGTGTGTGTGGGCACACGTGAGACAAAACAGGTTTCTTAAACACTCAAATTTCTACGAACACCAACGCATGCACGATGTGAAATTTTGGAGAAAAATATTTTCTCTCTCTTTTTCTTAGAGAAATTCGGCCACCAACTGTTTAGGGCTGAAAAATTCTTCAAAAATTGTCTACACAATTTTCTATCATTCTCATATTTAAAGAGTAGAAGTCAAACTTCAAAACAGAATCAAATCCTTATCTCCAATTTTGAATTTTGAACAAAAAATCCCTTCCCCTTATCTCCAATGTGGCCGGCCAACCTAGGGTTTTCTAACCCTGTGTGTGGCGCCAATTCAGATAGGGAAGGAAGAGAAAAATCATCATTTATCCTGTAGTCC